CCATTATTGCCTGTAAATTTAAAACTGTCTTATAAGTTTCATGGGTAATTTATAAGCAAATGCATGGTATCTTTGTGTGTGTCCCCCAGATGTTCTTCACTCCACTTTTTTTCAGATGTGATATCTGTCTCAACAGTCAGCTTTTGTAATCAACCAATCAGTACTCATAGCTTCTCCACAATGGCAGAATCTTCAAAAGAATCATAAGAAACTATTGGAGAAAGATAAACATTTACAAGGAAAACTTAAACCTGCCTGTTATTCCCCCCCCCAAGCCTTCTTGATTGCTTTGCTTTGAGTTCATTTTAGTATTCTAAATCAGGGGTGAGAAAACTCTATAAAGAGCTAAATAGTAAATATTTAAATTGTATGAACTGCAATGTCCTTATTGCAGCTACTCATCTCTACCATTATAGAAAACAGAGCTACAGAAGTGCATAAGCAAATGTTCATGATTATTTCAATAAAACCTTATTGACTAAAAAGGCAACTACCAGACTTAACCATGGACCGTATTTCATTGACCTTGCTCCTAACCTTCCACTGTCTCACTCACAATGACTCTTAGTAAAGTATTATTGTGACAGAAGACTAATGTCCGAGTTTCCCAAGTTAGCCCCAGCAAGATTGAAGGCTCTCAAATTAAGTGGACAAACACCTCCTTCTCAAAAGTTAGTTTAGTTCTATACTTTGTTGCTTAAAATATACCTTAGGTAAGTTCATCACCTCTCATATATACTACATAATTTAAAAAACTTTATTATGTAGTGATAATTCAAGAGAACTATAGATGCGAAAATCATCTCCATTTTGTCTAGATATATCTCCATCTCCATGACCAATAGTAGCTTTAGATCCCACAATTTTAACTGAGATTTGATAAAGAGATCACAAAGACACCAGAAAAATAGTCCTCAAATCAGCACTTCCCAACCACACAACTCTGTATAACTTTATTCTTCTTCAATTTCCTCAGCCACATAGTAGAATAGTAGTATACCCAACCAAAGCTTACCTTAGAGGTTCTTTCTTATTCATTATACCATTGTTAGTCAAATACACCCAGGATGCTATGAGGTCCTTTCTCAAATATGGCTTCCCCAATCCCAACCTGAGCATCTGCTTCAATAGTGCCTCAAGGTTTTAAACTTCACTCTCCTCCTAGTAATGCTAATGTTGATAGTGCTGAGCTAGAGAAATACCCCTTAAGTGCTGCTGGTTGCAGGATGGAGTTCCCAAAGCCCATGCTACTCAGAAGCAATGGAAGGTGGGGAAGCTACAGCTTTGCCCTTCCTACTTTTTTCAAAATGAGATTTACTCATCAAATATGAGAGATTATTTTGGTTTAATTCAGTATCAGGTACTGGAACCACATCTTAGCAACTACCACTACACTAAAGGGACACCAATGGACAATCTCCCTAGGGCACACTAGAATGGATATGCTGCTAGGTAGGTAAGGAAGGAAGATGGGGACATACAACACAGTTGAAAAGCAAGAGAGACAGAAATACCATCACACAATTCTTTTGTATACCCAACCCTCTAGAACTTTCTCTTTTTCTTCTTCTTGCTATTTTTTGTTTGTTTGGGGGTTTTTTGTTTGTTTGTTTTTGTTTTTGTTTTGTTTTTTGAGACAGGGTTTTCTGTATTGCTTTGGAGCCTGTCCTGGAACTAGCTCTTTAAACCAGGCTGGCCTTGAACTCACAGAGATCCACCTGCCTCTGCCTCCCAAATGCTGGGAATAAAGGCATGTGCCACCAATGCCCTGCTTCTAGAACTTTCTTATTCCCTAAACACCAAGTCAAGACAGTCATTGATTGAAGGTTGACCATTCACAGGAATAGCCCTAAATCATGCAGATAAAGAGTGAGAATGTACATAGTGGCTTTGAGATTTTTATCATCTCACAAGATAGGCAAGATTCATACATGTTTATACACTTGTAAATAAGTAGAGGCAGGAAGATAATTAGATAATTAGGATACATGGCCTTGACTTGGATATACAGAGTGTATTGGTGGGCTACTGAGATGGAGGCAGGTTTTACCTGAGGAGATGAATCCATATGGCCAGAGTTCAGAGAGACAAGAAAGGCAGAGCAGAGAAGGTGAGAAAAATATTCAAGGAAGCCTGAATGGGCCCAGCATAGACAACTGGAGAACAAGTAGAGGGGGAAAGAAGCCTGTTTCTATCACCCCCCATGTGGAACAAGTAAGTCCATTTCAAGAAACAGGTGTGTAGTATACATGTTCATGTGAGGGGTACAACTGCATTGCAGGTGTGTGTGTGTGTGTGTGTGTGTGTGTGTGTAAGTACACAATAGAGGCTATAGGTCAACTTCCAGGATAATTCCCCAAGAACCTCTGGCCTTGTTTTTTGAGATGGGGTCTTTCAGTAGCCTGAAACTCACTGATTGGGCTCGGTTGACTGGTCAGCAAATCCCAATCTACCTGCCCTTGTCTCCCCAACACTGGAATTATTTATAAACAAATGCTACTGTGCCCAGCTTTTAGATGTATGTTTTGGGGAATCAAACTTGGGTGCTCATGCTTGATTATTAAGCAAGCTCTCAACCCTTCAAGTCACTTCATTTCAGTGTTTCCATTTCCTTCTTCGTGAAATGAGTAATTTGAGCTAAATAATCACAAAGCTCCGTGTTTTGTTTATCTTGTAATCACTCTGGTTCTGATAAAGCAAGCTATCAGCTAGGATCAGTTTTTCTGCCTGGCCCTCCTCTGCTCCAACCAGCAAGTTCTGCTTTGTTTTGTTTTCCTTTTACATTTTACTTTTCCTCTGCAGTTTTATTTCCAGGAAGGATTTGAAAATCACTCAACAAGGAACTCTGTAGGATCCTTCCATTTGCATATCATGTGGCTTAAGTAGAAATAGAAAGGAGCCTGTTGACACAGGGAATTGACTGCTAGGTGGCTGAACCAAATTCTACAAGTAGAAAGAATAGTGTAGTTGAGAACAATGGGAGTAGGGAAAAGGGAGCCATTGAAATGTCATGAGCAGAGGAGTACAACAGCAAAAGAAGTGAAATTTGGCTCACAAACTGTTAGTGACTGATCTGAAAATCTCAACTGTTCAGAAGGTTCTAAGAACAAAGGGTGATTTTTCCCCTTGTCAGCCTTCCCTCCCAGGACATTGTACAGTATGCAAAACTGTAAGTATAAGACAAACATTTTTTTCCACTGCCTCCTCAACCCCACAGGCCTTCAGGAAGACCTGAACTTTAAGCAAAGCCTTTTTATTTTTCAACACCCACAGCTTCCATTCAGCAATCAGAAGTTTTCCATTTTGATCAAAGGGACTCAATAGAGAGGGCCAAATGAGCAGCCAGTTCTCAGCAGCCCTGAGCAGATTGCCACCCACTCCTTGACCCTACCCAGCAAAGGACAAGGTCTTCTCCCCCAGTCAACCAAGTGGCACCCCAAAAGCTACTAGCTTACCTCACTCTGTATAAACCAGCAGGCAAACAAGTGTGGACACATATGCCTTCCAAACCCAAGCTCAGCTTAGGACCAAAGGGGTTCAGCTTCCTTGACAGTCAAATGGAGATCCTGCCTGACAAGAACACTGTTCACAAGTTCATTCCTCACTGCCTCTCCAACCTCCATGGATTGTGATTTTATGAACTCACCAGAAAGGGTCTGTAGACCATCTTCTAAGTCTAAGCTGCCTCAAAGAGAGATGTACACAGAGACAGAAAGGAACATAACCCAAGGTTGGCTTTGGGCATGACATTTCTTTGGTATCTCCCATGGCTCCCAGAGATAGACTACAACCAAAAGGAAGTATGTTGTCAACACACAGGGAAATAGAAAATAAGGTTTCTGAAGGCCACATCTAGAGGGAATTATGAAACAGTGATAAGTGCTTTTAGAGGTATTCTGAAATGAAAATCATTCATATCCACAGATGTGATCCAGCTCTGTGTCCCAGGGACTTTATTTATTATATTAAATTCCAGACATGGCCCAGAGGGCAGCTTGGGCTGTTTAACAGGAATTGTTCAACAGCAGCTGCCAAGCTAATTCCCATTCAGGAAGCACTGTTACATCATTTTGTTTGATCTTCTCAATGACTGTAAGGCAGAGGGGTTTAAAGCAAGAGCTCTGGTGAGCTTTTCAAGGCTAACACGGGACATGAGGTTTTCAGCCTGTAAGGGAAGCTTCCTGCAGAGTTTTGAGGCCATGCTAGTTTGCATGCACCAAGTTCTGCCATTAGATTAGCATGGCTATGTTTAAAAAAGAAAGCTTTTATGCTTGTTGGGCCTCTGTTTTCCATTCTATAAAGAAGAAATGTTACCTGACTGTGGTGGTAAGTGTGGAGTCAGCCACTACACCAGCTTCCTAAGACTGTGCCTGAACTAGAATATGGAATTCTAGAACAGTCATGCAGGAACTCATCATAAATACACCGAGCACTATTTGTACTCTGGCACACCCCACAGACACCTCACACACATGCACACACATTTCATATCTTCAGCTTCCTCATCTTGACTCCTCAACATTGTCTTCCTCTTATATGAACGTTATAGCAATCCACCTTCATCCACAAATATAACAGATCCCAAAACCATACAGCAAGAGTTTTAGGAGCTTTAATTCAAAAGGAAATTGTTTCCAAATTCCTGTTCTCTCACCGTATCTTTGAAACTGTTCTCAAATTTCCCAGAGCCACAAGCTTGTCACCAGGTAGGTGAATGTCCATACTGTGGGCTCTTCTTTCCCAAGAAAAGGTATATTTCCAGTTTACAGCAGGCCTTGACAATCAGACAACCCTAGCAGTCATTGTACTGCTGACAAAGGATTGTTGTCTCCCAGAGACTCAGCAAAGAGACTAATCTGGAAGCTATTCTGTGCCACCAGCCTGGGGAAATAAGTGTGCAGGGTCTCCGCGGGAAGTCGTTCTGTGACTGAGCCTAAAGGAAACAGAAGTGGTTGGTGCACACACGCGGAACTATCTCCTTCCTACCGCCCTCTGACATCAGCCATCATCTCTCGCTACAATTTCCCTGCACTCAAATTAATCTCGGACGATGAAAAATGAACCTCTCCCCCACCCTTGCAGCCACCCTTCGCTTCACGCCCCCAGAGAAGAGTTTCTCCAACCGACAACTGGTGAAGGCTTTTTTCCAAGTCACATGATCCAGGATGCAGGGGGAGAATCCTCCTTGGAACAGAGCTGAGGGCAGAATCGAATCAGATGGGGGAGATAAGGTGTGATGTGGGGCAGACTATATAAAGCATGGAGCCAGGGCTGCAGCAAGCAAGCAGCCGCGGGGCCCCTTCCCCTGACCCAGCCATGCAGATACCACCCGAATCGGTGGCGAGTCCCTGGAGAAGCACGAGGCCCTGGAGAACCACAAACCACAGCTACTTCTACCTCAGCACCACCGCACTGGTGTGCCTCGTTGTGGCAATGGCGATCATCCTGGTGGTGGTAGTTCAGAAGAAGGTGAGTAAACGTCTTTACTTTGCTTCTCTTTTCTTATTTATAATCTGTGTCCCTCTAGAGAGTAGCTCTGGGAGCTAATGAATAGATAAATTGGGAGAAAAAAAAAAGTAAGAACTGCAAATAAATAAAACTATGCACATATACTGATGTCATAACAGAGAACTGGAAGACAAAAATTGAGATTAACTCCCTGCAGAATTTGTAATTGTTGTAGAGGACTGTAACTGGGCATGAGCTCAAAAAATTTCCAGATGTTCTTGAGCCAAAAGAACAGAGAGGAACTACTACTGGCCTTGAGAAATGATTATTTAAGCCCAGCTGAGGAAGTTCCTCACATTATGGAGAGAGGTTCTCTGTGAAGCTCTCAGCCTATATCTATGGTTATGTCCCCAATCCATACTCCCAAGAATTCCAAGACCTCTCTATTGACAAGATGTTGCTGTTGGTTTTGTTTGTTGCTTGTTTTTAGCAAGGAGATAAGTTACAGAGACTGTGGTATAGAAAAAAAAAAAAAAAAAAAAAAAAAAAAAAAGCAAGAGACGCCAAGGTTCCCTCCCCAGAGCTCTGGGTATTTCAGTGTTAAAACCCACAAAAGAAATTGAAAGCTTCCTCACGAGCCACTAGCTTTGAAGAGCCCAGGGTGTTGAAAGAAATAGCTCTAAGGAACAGAACATAGCAATGTTTTTTTTTTTTTTTCACCTCTACCCTCTGAGAAGCACACACAACATTCAGGGTCATGCTGCCTTGGGAGATTTACTTGTTTGAAATGGGGTAGGAATAAGACAGAAGAGTTGAAGGAAAAAGCCAAAATGTAGAAAATTAGCATTGCGAGAGAACCAACTGTTACACACTGTCTAGAAAATACTGTACCATCAGCACACATGACTCATAGGCTTGGGGTTAGATCCAGTCATCATTATTTGGGTCCTGTATAAATTGCACCCACATATGCAATACCCTGGCCAAATGTGAATGCATCTGTTATTATTTCATTATTCTCACTCACAGGATCATCTCCCAGATTTTTTTCTGGTTTTCCTTCTTTGTCTTAAACCTTAGGCTCTGCAATTAACTAGATGCTGAGAGAGGTCTAGGGCCTTACAAGTGTCATCAAGTATTGACATTTAAAGGAAGCTTTGAAGCTCCTTATTCCCTGAGAGTGTAGGAAGGGATTTATTCACACTTGCTTTGTCAGAGCTGATGGGACTCAACTGCATCTCCTGAGAATGACTACCTTAGACAAAACTTTGGGCACATTTTCTTCTATACACATTCTCCATATTCTGTCACTGTGATTTGCAGTATGTCATAAATGTGTTATTTTATAGCAATGGCCAGATAAGATAGATTGGAATGGGCCTTAAGAAGTTCTTCAGTTAAAGGCTACAGGTAGAACTGCTGGGTGTGAGGGAGAGACCAAGATGGAGAGGCGTGATGATGGTGCTGGGCAGAACCAGAGAGAACTCCACAAGAGTCATCATGCAATTTTAGTCTGTTGTTGAAATGATCCCTTCTATGAAAGCTAGACATGTCTTTTTCTGCCCTGTTTCTGTACGTGCAGAAAATGAAACCTACGTAGGGGACAGGGCTTGAAGTCAACCACCCTCGGCAAGTGGTAAGGGGACTGCTTGGTTGCTTTTCATTGCTCTATGAGAATGCTGCTCCCTTTGCTTGCACTGAGGCTGGTAGAAGAGTGGAGAGCCTTGGTTTCCACTCTTTTTTAGAGGACTGATCCTCTGTTGCATCTATTTTTCTTTTCTCCATGCGTGGGTATGGAGAGATGCATCTCACAGTCTGAGTTATGCTTTGATGTGCTGTAATTCCCTAAATGTCAGGTACTTGCTCACAGGCTAGGACTTTCTATCTTAATACAGAGAATTGAAGGCTTTGCACATATCATTTCGAGTACACTCTCAGGCTTTAGCTGTGGTGAGAACTAGGGAAATGTGAGTTCCCTGGGCCCAGGTTATCAGGGATGTATTCAGCAGAAACAAGGATGACAGCTGTTAGAAACATGTGAACTTGACCATTGAAGAGGCTCAGGGTGAAGTCTGTCAAAGAAATCAAAGAGAGGGTCCAAAGAGTTCAGATTCATATACTAGTATTCAACATGGGATGGGAGGTGGCCAGATAGCATTCTCTGTGTACCAATGGGACTGGATTTGGAGAACTGTGAGAATCGAGTCACTTTACTGACATATGTGGAACCACCTTGAGACCACCAATGAAGGAGTGTTTCCCCAGCAAACTGAAGAAAAACATCATTGAAAACTAGCGTGTCTGGTCAGAGTGAAAAATAAGAATAGTTTTCAAGCAGTGAAGGAGGTGAGAGGAGAGAGCTCCGTCTGGCAGAGTCTGAGAAAAGAGATGGAGAAGTGGCAGTTAAAGATGTCATCTTTGAGACTTGGCTTAGAGCACCAAATAACTCCAAGTGAAAACTCCATAGGAAAGACAAAGAAGAAACAGTAGTATTAGTATTTATTGAGTATCTGCTTTGTGCAGGACACTGTTATAGACACTGAGTATATAGTTTTAGCTACAACCTTTAGCCTGCCCTTGCACTGCTTACACAGCTTTCTCATAATGTCTTTGAAGACTTCTGAAACATCCGTATTCTTATTTACATTTAACAAAACAAAACATTTATTATGAAATACATTTACAATGTTTGGGAAAACTAACCAACAAATAAGGGGAAAGAAACTAAACATTTCTCATACCCTGTCCCCTTAGCAGCAAACCTGTCTTTGCTGAGATGGCTACCATGAGCAAATTCCTGCAAGCTCTTACATAAATCTGTATATCTACAAATACATAGCACACCTGTCATTATCAACTCCATTCTATTTGCTTGGTGGTGTATCTTAGAGATCACTCCATGTCTATATGTAGAAGTCTACTCTGTGCCACTGTAGAGTCATATCTTTTTCTGTTGTATGGATGCTTCAGGATTTATCTGTGACTTGTAGGAGGCTGTAAAATTTCCCTCTAGGACATTTTGCCATTTGTGCATTTCTACAAACCTATATGTGTAAATAAATCCTTAGAAATGTGAATAAAATGTGTATTTTTTACTTGAATAAATATTATCTATCAGCCTGCCCAGAGAAGGAAAAGTCCACCATCAAAGGCACATCTCTACATCACTATAGGAAGAAAGAAAGAAAGGAAGGAAGGAAGGAAGGAAGGAAGGAAGGAAGGAAGAAAAGAAGGAAGGAAGGAAGGAAGAAAGGGAAAGTTGAGTAATTCAAGTGTATGGATACTTTTCCTATCGTGTGGGAAACACCACAGCCATGATGAACTGTCAACACACAGAGCAAAGCAAAAGACAAAAACACAATTGAGCATCTCTTATCTCCCCCTGGGAAAGAGGAATCCGTGATAGCACTGGTTTCCCAATCACTTTACAGATAGGTGCTTGCATTTTAATAAAGTCTCTGGACCCTCAACCTTAGTCATGTCTTTGCTTCCTAAACCAAGGCAAGAACACACACAGTCCAAGTGGTATAGCAAGGCTTCAGCTTTTGTGTGTGTGTGTGTGTGTGTGTGTGTGTGTGTGTGTGTTTCACATATTGTACACTGTTTCCAGAAAGTGAAAGCAGCTAAGTCTACCTTTCTCTTGGGGTCTGGGTCGAGAGTGAAGCAGAGCTCAGACTTCAGTAAGATGATTATTGATAAATGTAGTAGTATAGGATGAGGCTATTTGGGAGGTAGCTTATTTTTCAAACTCAGATATAAGTGAATTTAAGTGCCCCAGGACACTTCCTTCTTCTCAAGGGACTCCCTGCATCTGGCTTTCATTCTATTTAGGAATTTGTGTAATTAATTAATTAAGCTTTTCCTGATAGCTGAAAAATTTTCTAAGGATCAAACCCTAAGCAGAGCTTTGAAGGGAAGACACATGTGGATTCTGGGAACTCTTCTTACTTGAGAAAATGAAGCCTATGAACTTGAACTTCAGGCAGAATGCTCCAGCCCAAACAAAGAGTGGGTGTCCTCTGCTTAGGATAGGGAGGGTTTTGTGTAGTAACTGCAGTATAAGCTGAACCTGATAAAATTTTGAAATTGTCTTTGAAAAATGTTTGAAAATGGAATGATAAAACCCACATAACCTTCTACCTAAATCGATCAAGTATCCTTGACAGTCATGCTGCCTCTGTAAGTATATGAAAGCAAGTTGTAGGCAGTGTGGCTTTACTCATCCATGTTCTGTTATACATCTACTGCAATACTGTCACTATAGCCAAGAAAGTTCAAGTTAACTCAGCAATATTGCCTAATAACATACAATCAAGTACAGTCCATGTTTCATTTCCTCATGTCTTCTGCAGTTGTTTTGTTTGTTGCTATTTGGGGGTCTAATCCGACCTAAACTCACACACTGCCTTAGGTGTGATAACTACATATGTTTTAATCTAAACATTGTGATTTAATGGGTATCCCTACCTGATTATGCACCACATGCTTGTGATCTTAGCTACTCTCAAAGCTAAGGCAAAAAGATCAAACATTCCAAATCTTCCTGGGGTATTTAATGAGACTGTGTTTAAAGGCTTAGGGAGGAAGTTCAATGCTAGCGTGCTTGACTAGTGTAGGCAAAGCTTGGATTCAATCCCTAATACCACAAGGAAAACAAAGAAGTAAACCAATAAATAAATTGTCCTGAGAGGTTGTTAGAAATACACACTTGGCTTGAGAGATGGTTCAGTGGTTAAATCCCTTGCTACCAAGCATGAGGACCAAAACGAGTGTTCAAAGTCCAGGTGCACAACCATAAACCCATTGCTCCTAGAATAAGATAGAAGATAGACACAGAAGAATCACTATCTTCTCAGCCAGTTAGTTCATAGTAAACATAGTCGTGACCAACAAAGAGACAAATATGACAAATCTAAGAATTGGTACCTGTGGCTGTTTTTTGACTCCTACAAGTGCATCATTGCATATATACATCCACACTCAGACCCATGAATATGCACATGCATACATAATACATACACATATACACACATAAAGAAACATGACAGGGAGAGAAATTAAGACTTCCTAGCTCCATCTCAGAGCTAGTAGGTCAAACCTGCATTTTAATAATCTTCCCAGAACAGCTGTAAAAACAATAAAATTTAAGAAGTCCTGAACTAACCATTACACCCACCCTCAAATGTTGACGTTGTGTTACGACTATTCTGCAAGAGGCAGGCCAGTTCCTCAGTAGAACATTTTATATTCTGGTTCTGCCTGAGGTTTATCCATACTTGGTGTTATTATAGCATAGTTAGCAACATATGTCTATTTACATACGGTTGTATGTTTAGTCACTTCATTAAGGGGACAACTAGCAACAACCTGGCTTGTCAAAAACTCTTTTTCATTTACTCTTTCTCATGTTACCCTAGTCTATAGGATAACATTCTGAAGATGTGACTGTCTTCTGCTCAGCAGTTTGGCATTTCTTCATGATCCTTATCTGAATCCTTTACCACCCTGAGGATTAATGGTGAAAGATTATTAGATGCTGTCATTCTTTCCACTCACTCACTATGTTCTATAAAGATGAGCTCTCCATTAGCAGAATGGAAGCAAGTAGAGGTGGGACCCAGCAAGCTAGACAGTGAGTTAAGGCATGGCTCAGAGGAAGACAAACTGAATTGTTACTGTGGTATGAATAATGGCCATCCTCCAGTACAAAGACAAAGTAGGAAGTGGGACTAGATGACAAAACACATTGATAGATGAAGCCAAGAGGGCAAAGTACCAACTCCATTTTTAGAGAAGGAAGATTTCCTAATCTCACATCTGACTCCAACTCCTTGCAGCCACCTTTCAAGACCATAAGAATTGATACTTGCTTCTTGTGCCATGTCTTGAAGCCAGTGATGCTCAGAGAAGCCTGTGGCCAGGACATTCTGATATAGCCAGAAGACTGACTAGAACTCAAAACCTATCTCAGACCCACTGAATCAGAATTCTTATTTTCATGAATATCTTACAGGACATCACTTGAAAGTGATAGAAATGCTGTTTAAGCCACTGTGGTCCAAATTTCAGACCTTCAACAAAAAATGCTGTCCCTGGGGGTCTTTGATGGATGTCATTCAGTCTCTTCAGTCTCCCCATGGGTTTCAGGAGAACATGATACTGTTTTGTGTGCTGTAATCTAGAGAGACAACACTGAAGAGCATTTGCTTTCCCAGCCAGTATGATCATATTTCTCATCTGTGGGACCTTTTATAATCCTTAAGTAACTTCTCTGTGTCTTAGACAAATCCTTATTCTTAGAGTCCAGATAAAGGCCAATATCACAAGACCCAGAAAGGATTTGGCTCCCAGAGTAACCTACATTAAATGTTTAATCATCTTAATTTAAGGATAACAGAGATTTCTGTGTTCTGTGAGCCAGAGACTACCTTAGAAGACAGTGAGAGTCAGAAAGGAAGAGGCTATGGAATTCTTTCTAGAGTATTCCATATATTAGTTGCCTTTAATCATTTCACTAACCAAGGATTTTGTTTGAAAAGCAAATTTGGGGGCCAAGGGCATTTATAAACATTTGTTCCATGCCCTCCACAACACCACTCTGAAAATAAATAAACCTTTCAGAGAATTATGACAAATTAAACACATTATAATGCTCAAAGAAGCCCCTCTCAAATAGCTACTGTTTTCAAACAATTGCTAATAATTTACAACTTGGCATAACTCCAACAGCCCAGAGTACGAATCGTTGGCCCTCTAATAACAGTAATTAAAGGAGAGAAGAAAACATTTCTACACTAATGATTGAAATAGGGGTCATTTCACCTGGGGACAGACTAAGATCATTCTTTCCATCACACATGAAGAACTCTAGTACTTTTGGAACATCCATCAGATGTTCACAGAGGATAAAAGAAAAAAAAAAAGGAAGTATGCTTAAAGAATGTATCAGAACCATGGTGATTCTTTTTTATTTATTTTTTTCTTGAGCCACTCTATGAAGCTGAGATGACAGACCCGGGGGGGGGGGTACCCATTTGTTTGCATCTAGGTCAAGTCTGTGTCCTACCTTACTCAAAGCCAAGTCACTGAGGAGGAGAGTTCTCATTTCCTCCAGCTAAGGTCTCAAATTCCTGGGCAAGGTTTATTAAAACAGTTTACAGATAGCATTCAGCATAGTGCCTGGGGTCTAAACAACCTCTGACAAATTATAACAGTCACCATCATGTCTGATAAATGTAAGCAGTCATCATGTCCTTAGGTTTTGCTTCTCCATCCTGAAATACAAGAGCTGCTTGCAGAATAAGGAGGACAGAATAATGAACTGCTCTTCCTTGGCCAGTGGAAAGTTCACTGAAGAATTTTAGCCCATAATTGGCCCTTGACTAGAGTATCTTGGCACCCTTCCTTAAAAATCAACTTGAAAGTCTGAAAGATGTCTGGGCTTGTCTCTCACTTTGATTGACTATGGCATTACATTTGCTATAGGTAGCTAGAGGAAACTGTAGAGACCTTGTTCTTTAACATAGGAGCAGTCGCACTTCTGTCCTAAATTCCCTGGACCCTGGGTAAAGGATGAAGCTACAGACCTCCAGGCAGTGTTTTTTTTTTTTTTTTTTTTTTTTTGGTATCTCCCTACCTAAAGAGAAAGAAATAACTCTTAGTTAACAGGCAAAAGGAAGGCCTTCCTTTCCATGACTGCATTCCCATCTCATACAATTGGTCCTTCTCCTAGATACACTGCTTATACCCTTGGTGCTCAAGATGTTCTGGAGACCAAGAGCATCAGCATCACTTGGGAGCTTGGGGGCAATAATGGCAAGTCAAGTTCTTCCCAAACCTGTGCAACAGGAATTTACAGCTCAAGATCCCCAGCTTTAAAGCTTCAGAAATTCTGTCCTTAAGCACTCTGATCTTTTCATAGCTTGTGCCACAACTCACCATTATGATTCCATCTTATTTGTAGTTCTTAAATGGCTGTTTTGATTAACTAGGTCCAAGCATATCTTCCAGTGAGTGATCCAATGCACACCACACATCACCCAAAGCTGAATGACTGATTCTCTAACATTTCTGCCACTGGGATGGCTCTGATGGTGTTTCTTCTTTTACTATTCACTCTAGGTATCTAGGGGAATACAGGGCATTTGTTGCATTCAGTCATGTTAGGCTTCATCTAAATGGAAATACCTTTCTTCGTGTGTTTGCATTTCATGCTAATCAAAAGTCATGCTTGGCATTAAGTCAGCTGCTTAATAAACTGTGAAGTGTTGGCTGTTGTCTCACAGAGGCAACATAAAGGGGAATTTTGTGATGTCAGATTTTCCTAAGAAGCATGTGGGTAATCGTATAATCATGAATGTAAAGCATTATTACCCACATTAAGAACTCTCAGAGGAAACACACACACACACACACACACACACACACACACACACACACACACACACACAACCAGAAACAAGCAGGGGAGAAAAGATCTTCCAAAACAATTTCACATCCCTTCCCCGGAAAAACTTAGGCCCATATTTTATAGATTCTCTCTAGATTAGTTGACACCAAGGCTTGTATTTCCAAGGCCTTCCAAGATGGGTTCCACCTCTTGGACTAGAAAGAAACTTACTTCTCAGATAACAATGTGTCCACAGGAGAGTGGCAGGGTTCTTGAGGATATAAACTAAAATGGTACCTGGAGGTGGTCATCAGCACTTGCATAGAACATTAAGAAAGTCAGATGGAGTCAGTTGTCAGCTTTGGTAGATGTTGTGAAACTTTCTTTTTCTACTCTTTATTATTATTTCAGTTAAGTGCACTAGAGGTGACTGTGACCTATTAGTCAAAAGGCAAATGTGACATTCCATTTCATTGTGGAAAGTCTCTTGCATGCCTTTCTAGGCTAACATGGGAAGAAGTGAAGGACACTGGAACGCCAGTCTTTAAGGACTCTGTTGGAAACTAGTACTCCTCCATCTCTGCGGGCCACCTTCTCAGTACACTGTAACTACCTTACTCTTCAATCCCCTCTGACCCTCAACAGTTTCCTTGCCAGCAGACATTTCCATCAACTTCTTCCTCATTTATATAAAAGTCTGTATAGACATTTGTGATTATTATAGAAAGCATCATATGTAATATAATGTATAAACAAATACACTTCTGTTTGTGCTACACATTTATAAATACTTGATAATTATATCTGGGCATAAACTCACAATAAATCCATGCAGTCAGAGAACCAGTTTATTTGCAATAGCATCATAATCTTTGGAATATAAATACTAATGCATTCACACTGTTCAACAAGACATCTTCATGTATGTTTGTAACATTTATAGGTGATCCAAATATGGAAAGGAAAAAATGCATGCATTTATTCACTTCATTTGATCTTACATTGACATATGAGGGGAAAAACAGCACATGTGGAGGGAAAGAAGGCTCTTGACCTAGAGGTGGAAGTTCCAACTGTGCTCCTGAGTCCCATGAACTTGTGTTGCCTCCCTGGACAAGGCATTTTGTCCTGTGTCTTGTTTGTAAAATGTAGACGGTGACCCTGCTCTTCTCTTTCCTTCCAGGACTCTACTCCCAGAACAAGTGACAAGGTTGCCCTTAAAGGAGGTAAGATTTCAGATTTAGGACTAAACATATAGTGAATCATGCAGATGATACCACCAGGTGCAGTGCCTACTTATCAACCTGAAATGCTGTGACTGTCCTCAATAAGAGTGGGGCAGATGGAGGTGGGGGCTGATAGGGGAAAGCTGATGCTTCTGACTCATCTGGGTAGCCCCTGATCACAGTGCTGATTGATCCACACAAACCACCCACTTGCCTGTAACACTCTCACTAACAACACTCACCAGTGGTGTAGCCATACTGTGGACCTAGCAGGGACACAAGGAAACCTTGCATTTAGAGCTGGAAATCCTAAATTGAACACATTTTAAAATGACTCCACTTCCCACCTGAAACTCTCAGTTACACATCCCTTAAACAGGAATCACAGTGCTTACCTCACTGTGGTTCTAGAGGAGCCAATCAGGGCAAGTTCGTAATTGCTTGGCATAACAACCAGCACATAGAAACCATCAAATAAGTGGCAATAGCCAAAATACCTAATGAAGTTGAAGACCTATGAAAACAGACTCACTGTCTCCACATTACCAGTTACAGAAGTTATTGATTAATGTATTGCCCCTACTAGTCCCTAAGGGGACAAATGCAGAGTTCAGTTAATATTGAAGATTAAATTCAAGATCATCTAATGTTGTCATGTCTAAGAGAATGAAAAATTGGACTTATAGAGAAAGTGTCTTGCTCAATATCATATGGGCTAAATAAAAAAGTCATTGACTCTGATTCAGTATCTTTACATTCCAAACATCAATTACCACTTAAGTCCCACCCAAGATTTTCAGAACTTAGGCAGACCTTCAGGGACACCAGAATAGAGATGCTGGGCATCTTGGGACCAGAGGACACACAGAAAGTGATACAGGTCTTTACACTATGAGCATTGCACTTGTAGTATCTTTCCTTCAGAACATCCTACTGGAGACTTAGAAAGCATAGGCAAGGAGCCCTGGTTGGATAGGCCTTCTGAACCTTTTAAAACAGATAAATAACTTTAGCTTGATGAACAATATCTCAATATTGGCTAAAGTCAGTTAACCCATAGTATGTGGTCTCATTTCCCATGCCTGTGTAGATAACCAGTTATGTTAGGCAAAATGTAGAGGCCACAGACATTGTCTACAAAACTCTAGATTGTAAATATTCTAGGCTTTGTGTGCCTTTTCATCTTGACTGAAATCAGTTCTGCAGTTTGCCATGATTAGGACAGCCAAACAACACACAAATGTACATGCATTATTGCACCCCGTTAGAATTCATTTACAGAATGAGCAGTGGTTGGATTTGGCCCGTAGACCAGACTAGCAGACTCTTGTGGTAGAGGCAGTATAGTTAGACATCCTGCTACCTTGTTGCATATGTTCCCATGGAACTTTGCAAGGAACAATCAGCACTGATTAAATGTGATTCTCCTCATCTATGCTTCCATTGTTCTACCATTACCTCCATTCGATATTTCTCCATAAGATTGGAGGTTTACATTTGATGAGGGGCAGTAGCAACCTCCCATGGACATAGTGTCAATGACAAAGATAGCCTTGATTGGGCATCAGGACCCCAGCTGACGAGCTCTTCTTTTCTGTTTGCGAACATATTAATCATAAGTTGCCAAGAACAAAAATGCATGCTAACTAGTGGATTAAAATTAGTACCAGACTACATGGAATAGGAAATAAAAAAGGAAGTTGTCCTCTTGCCAGCTAGTCAGTTACACTTAAGGTGAAAACATTCTTTCTTGGCATGCACACCCTCCTGTATTTTGGTGAAAATGACCCTGCCTTCACAGCAAGAAATTAATATAGATAGATGCTAGATTGTTTGCTCTGTCACTTACTTTGACTTAATGATAATACAAAGCAAGAAATAATTTGTCTCCACCATGTTGTTCTCCAGCTTTTCATTTTGGGGAGAAATTTCTTTTGTTCATGAAATCCCAAATGTGGGTAAGTGTGGATTTGACCAATTGTCAGTCCCCTCCATACCTGGCTCATAACTCAGAATATCAGAACAAAAACTACCAACAACAAAATAATAGCTTCTGTTTAATGTTTGTCGATTCTGTTTGTCGATAATATCCTTCCCTTTTCTCTGCTTCCTTTGGGTTGGTCTGAGTACCAGCCCCAAGAGCTAGCAGTACAGGCATGGAGGGGTGGGGCAAATTCCCATTGATTCCTATTTGCTGATAAATTGTTGAGATCCAAGAAGTCAGAGTGACTAGCCAGGGGTTATGCTGGAGGCAACAGTGTGGAATCTGAGTCTCCCTCTGTTAGCCCTACACAATATGCTTCAGCTCTGAGGAGATAGCACCCCACTGTGTGTGCCCACTCTCACTTTGAATGCACAGCTACACTTGCCTTAGCTCCAGAAACTCTGGACATTGTAGCAGGATGAAGAAGAATGAATAACATCTTAGGGCAAAACCTGGGTCCTCAAACCAGGGATATCTTTTCTCCTCTCTAAACATCACTACTAAATATTCTAAATGGATTTGAAATTGTGGTAGGGAAGAGTGTTCAATGCACAGACTTGTAAGTTAGGGAAAGTGCCAACTGCACAGAGTGAAAGCCTATATCAAATCCCATCATCCACAGAAAAAGCCAGGAGCAGCTATGTATACCTGTAATCCAACATTGAGAAGGTAGAGATAGGAAGATCTCTAGGGCTCCCTGGCCAGCCAGTCTAGCCAAAATGAAAAGCTCCAGGTTCAGTGATTGACCTCATCTTAAAAATATAAGACAGCCAACAATTGAGGAAAACTTTCAGTGTTGACCTCTGGCCTCTAAACACATATACACACATGAATGTACATATATATATAAACAGCAGAGTTCTTTGAAACTTCTAAAGACTGGAATTCTCTTGTCCTGTGTATATAAAGACAGAAAAAAACAGCCTGACTCTTGTCTGAAGAAAATCTGAAGCTACAACCTCTTTCACCAACAAGCTGATCTTAAGTTTAAGCAAGAAGCAAATTGCCTTCTTTGAAATGGAAAGAAGGAACTGGGGGAAAAGAGAACACTATTAACAAGTGATGCCAAGCAGGGCAGACCTAATTTCCAGAAATTCCTGGGAGAAAATACTAGGGGTGGCACGATGTTTGTCAAAAGAATAGAAGCCACAAAGATGGGAGCTCACATCCATGACAGCTGTTGTAAATCTGCCACCTCCAGGAAAGCAGCAATGACCAGGGCCTGGGATGCAGGCTCTGCACACATGCCGAAGTAGCCCAGCACAGGATATCCTTAGCTACAAGGAAACCACAGAAAACCACACCCATGTTGATAATGAGTCCTAACACAAACTTGCCATTCCTAGTCAGAAAAGGCCCCAGGCAACTGCCAAACTGCACTCACTCCACTGACAGTTCAGTTGGATTCATGGATAAGTAGAAATGTTGGGAGGCAAAACTTTCCCATACTCTTCTTGCTGGGTTTTAGTCTCTCCTCTAGCAGACAGAGGTAACTTGCCCTCTACGGGGAGCCCACCATGAACACGAAATAGAACCAAAAACATATCTTCATTTTCCTTCTTGACTGAAACTCAGACCATCCATCTGGTCTACTTTGTTCTCCCGTGTTCCATGAAATAATCCCACCTCCTCCAATAACAAGGCTCCTGAATATCCTCATCAGTTCATTTTTCTAATGATCTGCTTCCATGGAATTTTGAATCTCTTACCATGCTTGCACTCTGGCTTTATTTGTTCAAATCTCAGATTGCAGCCCCCTTCACATGGATTTTCCAGGAGTCCCAACAGAACCTTGCTTCTTTGTATGCAATGCCTGCAGAAAGATTTGAGACATAAAGAAGAGCTAGCATGGTAGCAAGGTACAGCACAATGTCTCCCTGTACAGACTTCTGAGACTCTCTCTTGTAAGGCAAGAGCTATTCCAGCCACTAGGAAGTTCTCAAAGGCTAACATACTCTATCACTGAGTACTGAAACACAGAAGACCACTTCAGCTTTAGAACAGGTTTAAGGAGGTCATGTGACCTGGGCTGATTTCATGTCCTGTCTGTAGAAAAAGATATTTATTTCTCTGCAAATTCTATATGGTTCATGGGACTCAGAGGTCCTAGAAGCCCCCAAAGAAACTTAGACATTAAATGCAGGTTCTTGGGACCCCTTCTACTCACTATCCAGCCTGACTTAAATGCTACCTCTAGCTGAAAATGGACCCCAAAGACAAAGAACAAGACTGGAACATGTCATTCTTGTAGCCCAGTCTTGAAACTTAAAGCAACTCTGTTTTCCTCCTAGAGTCTTCAGTTTCCTATTACTGAGAGTTTATCTCAGAGCCGAACCAAATGGCTGAAGCCTGGGATGAATGGATTCAGCTTCCAATATAAAAATCCATGAATTGAATGACTATCCTAGAATCTCTAACCATTTTATTATGTTGATTTTTTACACATTTTGGCAAGATGCCATCTGCTGCCTCTACAACTAAAAGGAAAGCACAGGCATAAATAGAGACTAAATTTGGTGGGTTCTATAATAAAATATAGAGGATGAGAAAACTGAATAGCCAAGGAGACCAGTTTCTCCTTAGTACACCAATGACCCAAATAATCCACGGCCATGTGCCATATGGCAGAGGCTCAAATGACACAGAGTGCCAGCCTTCCTTTTCCTCACAACCCCTTCCCCTCCAAAGAACAACCATAGGCAGGTAGAGCTTCATACTGTCTTAGGCACAGAGCTGTATCCAGAATGCCCAAGTCTCCAGTTTGTTACTTTTAGTTCCCATTTACTCCTTTCTCCTTTGCAGCATTGTCGGATGCTTTCCTCAGCATGGTAAGGTTGGGTGGTGACAGTGGTGAATTGCTTTTTCAGCCCATTACTTCACTGGCTGCAAGAAACCTAATTGTTCCTCCAATCGCTCTGAACACACTCACTAAAACCCACTCTTAAACCCACTTTCTCTTCCTCAAGACCGAGCTAACAGGAATCAGAAATCTCTCTGCTAAATATCTAGGAAGTGA